TTTTTATGGAAAAAATAAAAGTCCATAAATTATTGGACTTTTGATATGCAGAAATTTCAGATATGTGACATAAATAGATAAACTAAAATGTGTATTATTTATTCAATATTTATTATAGAAAATCCTATTCAGATAATTCCTTGACAGAAAGTATTTCATTATTTAATAGGAATGTTTATGGAAGAAATTATTGGTAAAAATAAAATAAGGAAATTTGATTGCCTTGAGGAATGTCAATAAGAATTTGGTTAGAATTTTTGTCAGATGAAATACATTTATTAAAGCTATTATAACTATTGTATTACATGTAACAATATAATCGTGTTATTTAGCTAAAAAAAAATTAAAAAATAGATTCTTATATATCTGATTAAAATAATAAATTTTTAATATTAATTAATAATATTAATAATTTTAATATTACTTAATTATTTGGTATTAGTCCTCCTAGACCACGTCCAATAATCTTTTTCAAACCATCCAATCAATAGCTTGGTGTCACCAGTTGGTAGTATATTCTTCAATAAGTACGTCCATACTCAGTTGGCCTTAACAAACGTAAGTTGTCCTTGGCAATGTCCAATAGCATTTTTTAGACACCCGATCAGTGTTTTACTGTCATCAAATAGTAGTATATTCTACAATTTTGTTACATTTTGTTAAAAATGTTGTAAGATAAGTTTTAAGTCTAACCTATTAAAACCCATTAGCTGTATTCTTGTATTCCGTAGTGGTGCTTTAGTTCTGCTCCGGCCATGTTAGAAATCGCATAAAAAGATGCTTTTGAACTGCCTCGATATTGTTCATTATCTTTTATGAAGAAGATTCTATGTATCTACGTCTACTGACTAGTAGTCCTCTTGACTCATCCATATCTAGCTACTTATTATGTGCCTGTTATCGATGATATTGCATTTTTTCTACTTGTTAGCTTTACAATAACTATCCGGAATGACTATTATAGACACTCTTTTGGTCGGTGAAAAATCAATTCAGATATTATACCCTTATGCAGCACTCTGCATCTAAAGTTTTTATCGTTTTTTTCTTTCTTACTATTAGGAGATTTTAAAAGTTTATACCAATATTTATTTAAGACCAACAATATTATTTTAAGCTGACTGAAATCAAGTACTAAGTACCATAATTTTTAATTCCACTATCATTAATGGTTTTGATAGAAGAGACAGAATGTCAGATTTCCATGGGTGTGTAGTAAACCTCTAGTCCAGGCTTTGACCTGGACTAGGGGGGAATGCTAAGGCAGTCACTCCTAATATATTTTGTTGTTAGCAAGTCGCCAATATATGACATTCTGACCTTTCTTCGAAGAATGAAGATTTTTTGAATTAGAATCAGTTCCAATCCGTTAGAAATCAGTTTATTGTTGATTTATAATATATTCTATTATAACATTTATTATCAACTAAGTGTTTCTTTGTTTCTTGTGGCAACCAATGATATGAAACTAAAATAATTAATGATTATAAATAAAATTAGTTAATTGCTGTGTAACCGTGTCATATACAAAAGTAGTCATATTTTTTTATGTAGATAAAAAATAAATTAGAAAATTTTTAGAAACATTTTTTCGCGAACAGTTTTTCCTCATTAATCATTGCCTTCAGCGGAGTTGAAAAACGCTGCACTTCGCAGTAAAATATTTTCCTAATTAAAATCGCTGTCAGTTGCAGGTAATTATTTGCTAACAATGTTCTAATGTCTTGGAAAAAATGTGAAGAATTTCGGTTTTAGCACGTAGCTACTTTGTTGACTGAGAGGCAACGAAAACTATTTTAACACCGCAAACGTGGCGGAAAATAAAGTTTTTCTAACAATTTTTTCCTCTCGCCGCGCTTTGTATGCATCCAGCGAAATGTGGCTCATAACGATAAGTTTTGAGTGAAATGTCAAAAATTACAAATTCCCAAGTATTTCCAAATATTGCAAATTCTTCGCAGGGAAACTGACAAATAAAAACCATTCATCCATAGACCTTTCCAATACTCGCACTCGCACTCGGTGCTGTGAATGTTTACGTGCTCCGCATTTTTT